CCCCCCCCCCCCACACACACACACACATACACAAAGAAAATTGTCAATGGCTGTACAGTATGTTCTTCTGTGATGTTCTTCTACAACAATCCCTGGGACAGATTCCTGGGCAAGTTATCAAGTACAATCAAGATACTGAAAACACCCAAGGTACTCCCGAACAAAGAGCAAACACAGAGCGAAGAGCCCTCGGTGCAAAAGTCGGGCCAGGACAGGGGGAGACAGCAGTGAGATTAGCAGAGTGTGACAAAAGCCCTAAAAGAAGTTCAATGTCCTGTGAGAACACTATGGAGAGAGTCGAAGAACTGGCTTATATGCTCCATTAACACTATGGATCCGAAAAATACAGAACGCGAAACCTGCTTAACATTTTGCAATTAGCTACCTCTCATGCTTTGGCATTTTCTGAATTGCCTCTTTCTCATCAGTCAGTCTTTTGAAAAGCATAAAGATGAGACTTTAAGAAGTTTCATTTTTAATAAGCAAAGGTAAAAACCCTGTTTTTTTTCCCCACGTAATTCTATATAAAATATTGCCATCCCGTTGTCTTTCAACTTCACAAAAGGAATGAGAAATTGAGGCTGTAAAATTTTGCCTTTCAAAGCTGCTGGGCAAGAAAGGGATCTTTTTTTTCTTTTTTTCTTTCTTGCAACCTATTTGTCTACTCTTACTTAGCTGTTTTGGTGGGTTTTTAAAAATTCTAATGAAGGTATTATTTCTCGTATTATGATAAAAAAATAAAGCGCTCAGACTCAGGGGATCCCTTCTGAGAGACAGTGCTTTGTGGCACATGCTCACAAGTTCTTGGTCTCAATGATATCAGACACTATCCGGGGCGATTTAATTACTGCCTGTCCATATCAGCCTTCTTTGCCAAGTTCCCCACCCCCCCCCCCCCCCACCAAAAGAAGGATGAAGACAGCCATTCTTCTGTGATTCACTGTGCCCAATTAATTCTGAATAGACAAGCTGGAACACACCAAAGGAAGCCACTTCCCCATTTACTTTACGGACGTGAATTTCCTCGCCACATTTCTGAAATTGTTCGAAGTCGGATGCTCTGGGCAACAGCGGGACCCTGACACTTTACGGGTTCTTGGGGAAGCCCGTGAGGCCAGGTGAGGAGAAAACCGAACCCTCCCCACAAGCCCCTGAGCCAACAACCCGAATCTCCACCTGTTCTGCCTTCACACACCTCTTCCTGTCTTCTTTCCTAAATCCTACACTGCCCAAGCCTGCCTGTTGCAGAGTACCTTCTCTGTTATCATTAATCCCAACCTTTTTTTTTTTTTATTTTAATGTTTACTTATTTTTGAGAGACAGAGAGAGCACAAGCAGGGGAGGGGGACAGAGAGAGAGGGAGACACAGAATCCGAAGCAGGCTCCAGGCTGTCAGCACAGAGCCGGACGTGGGGCTCGAACTCGTGAGGCGTGAGATCATGACCTGAGCTGAAGTCGGACGATTAAGTGAGCCACCCAGGCGCCCCAGCCTTTTTTGCACTAGCTGCGCTGTCACATAATTTAAGAGAGCAGGGAATTTATTTAACAATCTCTCTGATCCTCTCTGCAAAAATCAGCACAGTCCTGGGACAGGAGTGACTCAAGAATGAATTTTGACAGCTCAGATGTAAAACAACACTCTGATTTGAATTTCAGGTACAGCTGCGTGAAATAGAGAACTCGAAATAGTCTCCGACCAGACAATATAGGCATTCCTGCCCTTGCTTAGAAGTTCTCCCTCTTTTTCGCTTCGAGATCTCGAAGGTCTCACTTTTTACATTTGTATTATGAATGGTTTTCTCGCGTATGCTCTTTCTCTCTCTAAGAATTTCTAGAGATTAAAAACAAAATCGCAAGAAAAAACAGCTTTGCCTTCAATAGTGGCAGGGATAGAGAAGCCCCCCATTGAGTATTTTAGAAATCCTAGGGGCCACTGAGACAATGACGCCACCTCCCTGGGTGTCAGAAAACCTGGCTTCTAGTCACTTTCCCAAAGAATGCAGAAGACAAAGACTTTTCTCTGGTCCTCCACCTCTCCATCGGCAAAGGAATAGCTCCTCTGTCCACCAACCTTTCCCCCCTTCTGTGCAGATTTTGATTCCGAGGCTAAAGCGCTGGACAGAAAGTATGGGGACTTGGTCACGACTTCTAATTCTGTCACTGGCCTGCGAAATGACTCTGGGCAAATCACTCCCTCTGAGATACACGCCCATCTGTAAAACAAAGGGACTGGGTCTGGGATCCATTCCCGGGGATGAGCGTCTGTGAGTCTATGGCCGAGATGTTAAACTTAATTACTCTTCTAAGCAACTTCCTGATTGACCGTATCCGACTCTGACCATCTCACCCCTGATGGGCTCACACGCTCTATCGAATTCCACCCGGGTAGATCTCTCTGCCGTGACTCTCCTGACTTTGCCCGGTGTCTATAACTCCTGGGGTCTGGAGTGGCCTCTTGGCTCCTGGGCGTCCTCATGCTGCACGGACTCTGCTCTCTGGGCGAATGGGAACCCACGGGGCCCCGGATACTCTTTCTCTCCACGCTAGCGAGGCCTCTTCTCTTTCCCAGAAAAAGGCTCTGCCTGACTAGCAAAGGCTTCATTTTTCTTTTTAAATTTTTTTTTTTTTCCAAACGTTTATTTATTTTTGGGACAGAGAGAGACAGAGCATGAACGGGGGAGGGGCAGAGAGAGAGGGAGACACAGAATCGGAAACAGGCTCCAGGCTCTGAGCCATCAGCTCAGAGCCTGACGCGGGGCTCGAACTCCCGGACCGCGAGATCGTGACCTGGCTGAAGTCGGACGCTTAACCGACTGCGCCACCCAGGCGCCCCTAAGGCTTCATTTTTCAAGACCAGGTTCCAGGAAGGCAATCTTGTGCTGCAGGAAGTAGCGCGAGAAATCCTGAAAGGCAGGCGACCCAGACAGAGTAAAACAAACCCGGGAAAACACCCAAAGCTCGCCCCCTGCCCGGCCCCAGTCACTGCCGCGTCCCATCTTGTCTCCCACGAGAGCCACGCCCCAGCAGGGCTTGCAGATGAAATGTCCTGAAAA